TGCAGTTTCTATCTCAGCTTTGACCGCTTCAACTTTGACTGTTTCAGGTTTGGTTTCCCCGGCCTCGGTCATGATAATAAGATAATGTGACTTTTGAGGGGAAAAGGAGAAGGGGGAGGAAAATGATAATGATTTGGGGTTTTTTTTGATCAGATCGTCAATCGAAGTAAGAACAGATAAAGGCACTCGCAAAGCTGTCTGTCTACAGTGCGATCCTATTGTGTCAAGAGCAAATTGGGAAAGCTTCTTTTTCTGTGTACGTGTGTGTTATATGCTATTCAAAAAGCTAAACAGGCAAGCTTTGCATTTGCGCAGTCTAATCCCCAAGAAGATGCTCCATGATATACATGAGAAAGCATGAGTTATATGTTATGTCTGCAAAAAACGTTCTTTTGATATACCAAGGGCACGCGATCCTTTATTCTAATAAATTGTACACAAAAAGCATCCATCCGTCACCATTCGACGCGTCGTCGGCTGCTCCTTGCCAATGATGCTCGCATAAACTAAGTAAACGTATCCTTCAAATAGACACTTACATGGTATCAAATAGTTCCTTTAAGAATATACAGGGAAACTAGAATTTTTGCGATGGGATTCTCCAACAATTTTCGTTGAACCAACATCTACAACTGTGACCAATCACAGGCTGTGTGAGATTGATTTTTTTAAAAAAATTGTTGTGCGATATTAAAATTACACCCACACAAAAAAGCAGGGTTTTACCAGTAGAACATGACGGACAAGTATGTCGCGAACACCGTTTCGACGACTTTTTTGCGTCCGCAAGTTTCCTCTGACAACCAATCAGACTTCGTTGTGCTTTCCTAGAACTCTGTTGGGTCGGGTGTTGGTGTCGGACGCAGTAGATCAACGAACTTTGGTTGGTTGCCAAAGGTAAATACGCGGCTCTATGCTAAGAAAAGACGTCCAATATAACTTCTTGCGTTATAATTACTCAATATACTGATTACTATTATAGCCGTACCAAGTCAAGTGTCTATACAAGGACTGGGGATAAAGGTGAGCTATTATGCTTGCTCATGGAAAGATAATTATTCAACAACGATGGTAATTATAATAATAATTACTTTATTTACGTAGGCACGTCCAGTCTTTATAATGGCGAGCGTCGCCCCAAGTATGATGATACCTTTCACGCGTTAGGGACCGTAGACGAGTTGAATTCTAGCATAGGGTAAAGGTTTACGAGCACTGAAGTTGCAGCTTGTCACATATGCATCTTGATCATAACGCATTCATTTGTTGCAGGATCGCACATCATTATTGTAAAGAGACTGGTAACGGGTTGGATTCTAAATTGGTGGAGGTTAGCACATTCTATGTATAACGGATCACGTGTATAACGTTTTCTGACAAATTCTTTATTAGATCCAATGCAAACTCATTGAATTAATGTCAAATATCGCCACACCAAGAAATTCGACGGATGGGAGGAGACTGGGTATGGGAAACCGGTTCATGACGTCTGTTGATTCAAAAGAAAATTCTTATTGATTATATTTGTTCGTGTGGGGGATGGATATGCATTTTAGAGTATACTGTATTTGATCAAGAGAATGTTCGGCTATTAGAATTATGGATTGATGAAATGGACGCGGTAAGCGCTAAATCCAGTCGATTAACGTTTCTGCTACTTTCTGCTGACAGCTACGTTACGTTGAATTGCAGAAACTTCCTCCTCTGAAGCATTTTATTTTGCCGTCGGGTGGAGAAAGTGCTATTTTCCTACATCAAGCGCGTTCTGTGGGTGATCTATTCTGTTTTTGTAGTCGTTCATTGACTTTGTTTGCAAGGAAAATCGGAGCCTTACGCTGTATTGGATTGTTGTGTTTTTGCTAAAGGTCTGCAGACGAGCTGAAAGAATTGTTTCTCCCCTGGTGGAAAGTGGTGTTGTAGACTCCGAGGTCGGCCAATACTTGAACAGGTAACTGAGATTTTGTTTATCCAGTTTCTGTCAGCATCAGAACTCATCAAGTACTTTTTTCTTTTCGCTGCATGCTAGATTGAGTGACTTTTTCTTTGTAGCAGCAAGGCATGCCGCAAAGTTTGAAGGGCAAATCGAGAATTATTATGAACAGAGAAGGAAAGATAAGCCAAGTAACCTGGTAACAAGAGAGTTATAAAGGTTACAACATCCTCTTTATAATATCAAAAAATTTGCGTTAATATATCCACAAAAGCCTCCTCAAGAAATTTACAGTGCCGCTGTTTGTTGACTTCATATTAGCAATATTATAGATGTATAGTATAAGAATTCCCCAAATTTTGGCGGTGGTCACTGTCACTTCATAGGCACGCGAATAAAATACAGTAGGAGGGGCTCATCAGGATAACGGAAACCCCACATGATCCATCATATACAAGAATAGTTTGTCTTGTTCTAATAGAACTGCTTATTAGACCATGCTGCCAACGCAGCTTCCGCAGGTTTTCTTGATAATAGTTCTGTGGAAAACAAAAGGGAAAACGTTTAGTCATACGATTAGAGCAGTTAATCATCATCTTATTCTTATTCTTACCTTCCATAAGGTATGTAACTTGCACT